CAGTTGAAACTATTTTAACGACTATTTGATGAATTTAATTTCTAAATAATGCTATAAAATTCTAACTGATTTATGCAGTTTTTAATGGCAATTTTTAGCAACAATACTTGATTTATATACAATCCATATTATACATTTTTTTAAAATATAAAACCATATATTCATATAAAACCTGAAGGTGCCTTTCTGAAAGAAATTTCCTATTTTTATGGCCTTTGTGAATCGGAACTTTCTAACTAAGAATCTAAAAGAAAATCTTCTTTTCTAAATGTTTTTTCGTTAAAATCTATTCTACAATATGCTTTTTGTTTCTTATTTCTTGATTTTGCTCTTTTTGTAGCTGACAATAGTATATTTTGAAGATGTAAAAATATTTAAAAAATATTAGAGTTTTTTTTTAGAGTAAGAAACTCGGAAAATAATGGTTTTTTTCCTTCAGTTTTAACAATTTTTTATTCGGATATTTTTTTTAAATCTTTAAGTCTATCACATTGCTTGAAATCCCTCAAATTTTTGCTCTTAAAATGATATAATTAGATTTGAGTGTTGAAAAAAAAAAGTACAGATGCTAAATGTGAAGAGTGCAAGTAACGCAAATAGACCTATTAATCTATTATCAATTCATCAAGAATTGCAATAGCCAATAATACATATTTCCGCTTCAACATAAAATTATAAAGGCAAAAGTATTAAAAAGAATCGCTAAAGAAACAAAAAAAATAAATTCTATTTCCTCTTCTACATATTTAACATGAATTTTTTTTTTTATGAATTTTATGTAATTTAATCAAACATATCGTTTTTTTACAGTAAAAAAACTGGTTTTTTACTTGATCTTTTTCTCCAAAGTCAAAAATACCATTTTTTTATATCTCTAATCTTATTTCTTTCGAAGTTCGTTGATTTTTATTCATGTAATAGAAAATAAAATGGGAGAAAAAACAAGCAGTAAAAAAATAGCAAAAGAAGCAGGACACAAAAAACACATAGTAGAATAAACTTCAATTCGACCTTGATCTCAGAATTCTAAAATTTAAATTTCAAAAAATAATTTAATTATCACATGAAAGTCTGTTTTAGAAGCTACTGATATTGCTGAGTTTAAATGTAGTCTAAAAATATCGAATTTTTTCATAAGAGTAATAATAATCTCCGATGGAGGAAGATTTAATGTCACAGAATCCATCAAAGTTTAAAAGTCTATTTGTAAATCACTATCTATGTAGCATAGATAAGCTTCAAATAAAGTGAACCTGGAAATATTTGATGTTACTTCGCAATAAAAAAAATCCTTAAAACCAAGTTTTATATAACAATCAGATTATTTTTCAAAATTCTATCTGCAATTATATCAATTATTTTGATTTTTTTCTTTTTGACTCAAATTTGAATAAATGTAAGGAAATTACTCTACAGTTTCATAACAATCTAGCAGTTTATACAAAATAAAAGGATATGATATTAAATGAGGCGGACGATGCGTCATTCCGCAAAGGATTAAAAATCTATAAAAATTTAAATAATGGAAAAAGAAAATATATTCAAATAATTATATTTTTTCAATTTAACCAGTGAATCAGTATACCACTTAACTGACTAACGAATATAATAGATAAATCTTTCTATTTAAGAATATATTACATATATATTTTAATATAAAATAAAAAAATTATGATAAAA